AAGGTTGGAAGCGGGGGTACCCACTGTTTGTGAATTTTCGTCGTGCATGCAAGCCTCAAATTTTCAAGATGTTTATTACCCCCAAAAAATCTTTTTTGTGGAGGTCTTTGAACATTTTAGTCGATTGTCCCTCAGCGGCCTCTGTCCAATCTTTGTCATTCTCGGATTTTGAGAACTTTATACGATCTGTTATGATGGCTTCCAGTTTTGCCGTGCCGTCAATCTTATCTATCAGTACCTTTTCGTATCCTTTATATGGTCTGGTCAGCGCGATGTTTTAATTTGTTCGAAGTGCCCTTAGGCTATCACGATTGGCCTTTGTTTAAATCTCCTTTGTTTCTTGGAGCTGTTCTTCAATACTGCTGGCAACAGTTAACCAAAATTGACTTAAGATAATTAACTCCTCCAAGCTTGGCAGATTTTCGATCGACAGTCTGGCTAAAGAGGCTCTCAAATGCGATGTCTAGCTCTAGTTAATTTCACCCGTGCCGTGCAATGTTATAAAAGTCCAGTTCATTAAGTACAACGGAACCGTTGGTTGAATTTTGTAATGAGGCTGGAGAAGATATCTTAGGTGGAGGCGCGTACAGATTCAAATTCATTTTTTTACACATGTTTATCATTGACAATATATATGACAGGCCCGAATCTCCATGAATCCTTCAAGAAGCATTTATCATAGTGATTAAGATTGCTAATTGCCTTGTTTAGGACAAAACTAACACGAAACCTACTAAACTTGGATGGCCGTATCCAACGTCAAAGTTGGCTGTGCGGTAGTACCCATAGCAGTACATTTAATTCCTGGAAGATGTGATAATTTTTGAAAAGTACTCAGTTTAAGGGTAAATCTCACAAGCCTGCTTTGGGTTACGCATGCCACCCTGCGGTGGTTAACTGTTTCAGACTTCTTTTCTGTGCGTTAAATATAGCTGATCTAAGCTCCAAATTATCCCACTACTGCCACCGGAAATGCCTTAAGACGACTAACCCAAATGGTTCCTATAGTATAACCCTGTGTAAACCTATGCAGAGCTCAACACTTAATGATATGCAAATAGTAAAGGCTGAAGACTATAATCCTGTCCCCACATAAAAATTGAAGCGGATAAAATCCTGTTTTCTTATCAAATGTGTAGCATAAAAAAGGTTTTAAGAAAGGCGGAGAAGTCAGAAAAGTATTTTCGGCTGATCGGTCCATAAAAGCGGAGTCATGGAGGTGGTGTTCGTCATGGAGATTGAGCAGGAAACTTCTGAAGGACTCAAACGTCAATTGTCAATGGCCTCATGACACGAATTCGACAATAGGCCTCATCCAGTTCCTCAGGCTGTCGTCTGACACCAGGCAGGGGTTTATGGTTGTCAGTGAAGTTTCGGTCGTCCACCTTATAGAATATCTTATCTGGATGTTGCATGGAAAGCCAGAGGCGGTCCCAGGCGTTGCTGACATACAGTGGAACGTGGTTCAAATACATCTTGGGGTGCACCAAAAGGGTATTAAACAGTTCGACGTTGGACCACACTGCAACGGGCGGAGGAACATAGCCTTTCCTGTCAAGACCCCAACAAATGGAGTCAGCATAGTAATACCTACCAAAACTTCCAGCAGTACTTAATATTCGTTCGCATGAAAATATGATTGTTGTGTCCTTGGACCGAGTTTACCCTAAGTGATAGTTTCCAACTGCCGGCTATCCTTTAGGAAATTACACGAGTTCCCGCCTTTCGCGTCCGCCTCACTTTGCGTGTATTAAAAAGAACGCATACAATTTATTTGCACAAAATCTCTTTATAACACAGCTTTCTCGACTTAAGTTCAAAAAAGTATTTTTTGCATGAAATGCTTAAAAAACTAGCATTTCGCGTTCGAAGTATCAAGTGTTTCGACACAAGGGGTGGCTACAGATGTGGATACTCACAGTACGCACGCGGATGACAACTACAAACCATAAATAGCATGCGATCTGGGCATGTTCACCCCTATCTTTTTATGACTCAGACTATCGTACCATTACCTATGATCAAGAATTCTAGACGAAATTCTAAACGTTAGAAAAATTAAACTGTTGTTTCAGTGCTTGTATGTTCTTCTTCTTCTGAACTGCTTCCTGGAACTCGCATATTGAGTTCTATCGGATGTTTATTTCATATACAGCATACTTTTGCAGTAAAAGATTGTTGGCAATCCACTTCCCAGCAAGTTTCAGCTTCTGTTGCTGTTAGTGGGATAAGGAGACCAACTCTTATTGGATTTAAATATGCATAGGTATTTGAGAAGAAGATTCGATCGGTGGGACATTTCATTTTATTCACCCTCCTGCGCCAGGTGACTGCCTCACTGATAAGTCTTAAGGCAATTCGACACCTCAGCTGTAATTAGCCACGAATTTTATTCCTCTCTACTGATGAAACCTGTCTGAATTAAATTCCTTTGAAAATGATTACGAAAAAAGTAGGAAACTAGGCTGTTTTTAAATAGCAAATTCGGTTGTTTAAACTGCAGACGGAACACTCACTTTTTAAAAGGTTTTACGCCGGGCACTTCGAAGTCTGAATCAACCTCGAGTAGATGAAGTACACGGGCCCCAAAGCGACCATCACTCATTGTGTTAAGGAGTTTGTCAACATTTGCCTGTGAGAAAAAATCCGGATACATACTCTTGGGATAAGGACGGGGGAGTCGCAGTAGCTGGCGTACCTCGGGCTTTTTCCACCTCATTAGAGAACGCTCTCCGTCCAGAAGCCGGTCCACCCGAGAAACACCTTTTGTATAGAAACGTGGAAAATGCATTGATATTATATACATGGATGTAGGCAAAGTGCTGACCCCATCTGCTGAGATGAAATAAGATACTTAAGGTGAAGGATGTTTTATTCATCGTCTGATATGTCACAGATATTGAGAAAATATCGGCTAAATTAAAACCCTGTAACCTTGTTGATTAGAGGTTTGTCTGATTGTGGAATCTGCTAAGAATACACTACAAAGGGCCTCGGATAGCGTTTTCAGTAGTATATGCAGAGCAAAAGCATTCACAGTCCTCAACCTTTAGGGTTCTCCAGATATTAGCACTGATAATGGAGGATAATTTTAAGTTCGGTTATTTGGACTTTCGTCAGTTATTTTCAAATGTTTGCATTGCAGGGATTTGTGCGTATAAGCTGATTGAAGCCTGGAGCACGGATACGAATTTAGTCAATCGATTTATCGATCTGATGTTAGCATAAAAAGGCCTGCGTAGTCACCCTCGGACTGGCATCACTGCAGTTTTATTGCCCTGTGCCCTAAAACTGGCCACTGTTAACTCTGAGGATGGAGTTCAGTAAGATTTTGAAAGCTCAGACAAATAAAGCCATAATTCCGACAAGCAACGAGCCTTCTTTTTTATTTGGACCACACCATTTAATCGTTATTACAAAAGGAAATTTGTTTATTCGAGAAAATATAAGTCATACAACTCCCGCGCTTACTTTTAGGTAAATATTACTAAAAATAGTTATTTGCAACATAAATTACTAGTTTGGTAAGCAAACAATGAATGCTATCGCCAAGCCTTCCCCTGCCAAACCCGACTTAGTATTATTGATGCCACCACCCACGTACCACCGGTGACTTCATCAGCATAAGCTTTGAACTTTTCTCCAAAGGGCGCCTCGTAGATATCCTCCAGGTTTGGATTTAGCAACTTCTCCTTCACGTCATGGCTGAGAAAAGCGCCGATCTCTCCACAGGTGGGCAAGCCAAAGCAAGGGCCAATCAAGCGAAGAACAAAGGCAGCGATGCGGTTGGGCATAATCAGAGCCTTCGGAGTCTGGCAAACGACCAACGCGTGCACTAGCCGGGCTCTTAGGTCCTCCAGCGATGAGAAATTCAGACGAGGTGCGTAGTCGTAGCCGTAAACGAAAGAACACAGGAAGTCGCGGCTGTGTTCTGACATGGGCGGGCTAGAAGGGGAGTAAATGAAAGTACAGATATTATGACAGTGTGATGATAAGGTCAAGAAAGTGGACAACTGTCAGAAGGGTTGGTTGTAAATTCGCAGGAGAACAGATAAATTGTTGCATTAAATACCTTTAACTAAATTGGAGCAGGAAAAAAGACGATGAGTTCACTCATTAGGCTGAACCGTGAATCCATCAAAATTGAACGCAATTTGTGTCTGGAGGAGGTAAAGACGTTGTAGGCAAGCAAGGTGTGCCGGCGGATCAAGGTCCCATGGCCAATGTAAGGCTAGCGTTATTTAAAAAGAGTGCTTATACGCCATTTGGTTGGTTAGTTACTCAGCACTTTGGAGAGTGCTTCAAATAGCTTAAGTATCTCACAGGAATAACTAAACCTAAAAAGTTGTTTCCAGGAATGTTTAAAATGATGGCTATGCTCTTTCATTCTTGTGCAAATTTCAAGCACAACTGAATAAAAATTGGACGATTAAAATTGTATAAAAGATGCTATTAGTAATAAAGGGTCAGAAGCCAGGACTTTCAAATTTTGTGACCGCAAATTACAGTATTTACTGACAATAGAACGACGGCAAGGATGTGCGCTTATCGCAAAATTAGTTCCTGAAAAAGAAAAAAAGATATCACCATCCAGGCTGTGCAAGCTGAAGATTTGTTACTTTCATTTATACCTTTGGATTACTTACTTTGTTCCATCAATCACCCCACTACTGAAACGTTGCCATTAAATTTTATTACACAAAGTAGACGAATTAACACGATGCAGTACCTGAAATTCCATTTATTTTAATAGGCTGGCTGAATCAGAGGAATAAGATGAGGTTTTTTGTAAAGCCTTGTATTTTCGGACTTTTGTGGTGGTTTTAAACACTTATTTTATGCCTTACATTTTTCTAGCTATGAAACGAAAATTAAACTTATTTGTTTAACTTTGGTGAATTCACATTGGTTCTTCTTAAAAAGTAAATGATAAGCCTACGCATGAATTTGCTACTAGCACTGGCACCAGAATAGGTTTAAGAACATGGTGTTTTTCACGAGACAAAATGTCAATATAGACATTGTGACTAAGAGGACACTGGCCAACTTCTTTTGTTTCGAACCTATAAGTAGCGATACCATACAAGCTGTTGTAGAGCAAAGTGTACCATATTTTGTTAGAGACTATTTGGTTTACCTCCTGCCCACCCAGACAGGGCACATAAATATGAGCGTCCGTAACTAAGGCGGTTTTTCGTTATATGCCACGACAGTGCAGATTTCATTAAGGTTTAGCCTTACTATTAGGATTGCGACGCTATAAAATATGAATCATTCTGGAATTTAACGCAAGGTTACCTGTACTACGAGTCTAACTTTATCTGTGTCCTGCAGGGAACGAGCAGCACAATGATCTCCACCTTCGATCTGTCATAAAGGTATCCATAAAAAAAACACAGTCTGTCATCGTAACTTCGTATGATCGCCTTCAAATTACTAATGGCCATAGAAGACACGTGCGAGAACCCCGTTTGCAGCTCCAAGCCGTGTATATATTTTGAGTAGTCAAACATTTGTATTTTATTGACAAATTAA